TTGGTGTAGGGATCGTCAACACTGGGATAATCGACGCTGGAGCAATGTGATGTTTTCAGATGAGTCAAGGTTCACTGTTGATTTTTTGGACAGACGTAGGAGGGTGTGGCGTCGTCGAAACGAGCGCTTCCAAGACGTTAACGTCATCAGACATGATCGATTTGGGGGTGGTTCTGTTATGGTGTGGGGAGGCATCACTGTTGCTGGAAGAACGGCTTTACATGTTGTTGCAGGGCGTGTTACAGGCCAGTACTACCGGGACAACATCTTGGCAGTCCATGTTGTGCCGTTCGCACGACGTCATGGCCGCCGTTTCATCTTCCAGGATGACAACGCAAGATGTCACAGGGCCAGGATCGTTACAGGTTACCTCCAACAACAGAACATCACCACATTACCTTGGCCAGCACTGAGTCCCGACCTCTCCCCCATCGAGCATGTCTGGGACATGCTTGGACAGAGGTTACGTCAACGTCATCAACGTCCTGCCAATGTCCAAGAACTTGCTGCTGCGTTGCAACAGGAATGGGACAATCTGGACCAAAATGACCTTAGACGTCTCATTAGGAGTATGCCACGTCGGATCAATGCTTGTTTGGCAAACAGAGGAGGATTTACCCGTTACTGACTTGGTTGTGATGCTGTGGTAACTTTGCTGTTTGACCCCGGGTATCATTTTACCCTTATAATGGTCAGTATGTGCCTTACTTAGTCTAACGATCATTTGGAATAAATCGATGAATGTGAACTTCATTTCATTTTGTCATTTGTTTCTTCGTCAGTTTCATTAGGTGACTTTAATAACACTTAAAAATCAAATATCCCCTACTTTTTTTGAATAGTATATTAGTTAAATTATATTATTATCAATATTTATATCCTGTGATGGATTTATATAGAGCCGAAAGCCTTAAAAATTGCTCAATGAAGTGATTAATCAAAAGGTCTACTGAGAGTTACAGACTCGATTATTAAGTCTCGTACGTCATCGTCAACATTTTGACGAATCAGCCAGAACAGACTGACACAGCCTACGCTGTGATGGCTGCTCTATGGCTTGTCATCCAGTTTGATTAAAATTATATGTTATTTTCGTTTTAAACAAATGTATGCCAGTAGATCGAGTAGCGAAAATGATTCGTATCTGTTAGCAGCACATCGAATCACACGTGGGGTTATTGATGTTTAGTCTCTATCATTCAGTCTAATGTTCTGTGAATATAATTGTGGATGGGTTGTCAATATTTGAGGAAAACTAGGTCATTTTACGTTATCGTGTACAAAATCTACTTATTTCATACAGAGGGCATAACAAGGGTGGTGATAGCCCTAAAACAAGATGTCGATGTCCATAAAATACATTTTCAAGGATCACATCTATGGTTCATGTATATTTATAATAGTATGAATCATGGGATTTATTTCGGGAAGGGGCGCGACTCTTCTTGACTTTAGCATGTTCCACTGCCCATGCGCAACCCGGAGATTTTTTATGTGGTTGAATATCCAGTAAATTTTCGTCAAATATGGATAACTGACCAAGACCCTCCGTACGTTAAGACTAAAAGAATATGGATGTCCAAGACTAATATAAATTAAGAAATGAAATGAAATGGAGTTTAACGTCCTACTGTTCTGCTCCGAACTGGGCTAATGAAGACGGGCATACGTCATACAGTGTGCTAGTAGTGAAATTTTGCCCGGACAGCGGGACCACGGCCTACTCTTATACTGTCAAGGGATCTTTTATGTGCACGTCAATGTGTACACGGGACTGTAAACGGGACCTCGGTTTTTCGTCCCATCCGAACGACTAGACAAGGGGGAACCACGCCGGAAAATCTGGATGAACTTTCTTGGCCAATGCAGGGATCGAACAACCGACCTCAAGGCTAGCGAGCCAGCGTCTTACTCACTAAGCCACCGTGTCCCCCAATACAAATTAAATTTCCAACTGTGTAGCTCAATTAAGACCAAAGAAACGAGGCGCTTCCAAGCGAGATAACGTCAACTAAAGAGATAAAACCAAATCATTTTGTTATTAATATAAAACCACAAATGTCGATTTTAATTATTATGATAGCTACTTAATAAAGCTCGTTAATTATAGAATAAATATTTTGGCTATTTTCAGTAAATGTATTTGTCTGAGTAAGGATATTTTATGATTGTAAAATTAGGATTTTTGTAAACGGGGCAAGCAATAAGACTACATAACTACATAAACGGGTAAGTTGATTCTGGGCATAATTATTTTAAATAATTTCAAAGAGGCCGTTGGTGAAAAAAAAAATTCTCCGACTTTTCCTTAATATTTTGTTTTAAAATTTAACATACATTTAATGTGGGACACGTCAGACAAGCCTTTGCTGAGATACATACGTTTAGGACACCTTGCATTGCTTTACAAGGAGTTTAACAAACGTGAGAGCGAATGTGACATTATTCTAAAAAAAATTTAGTTGGGAATACCTATTTATTTAAATTATAGACAAAATAAAGCCCAAATATACCATGTAAGTCTTCTTCAACGTGTAAATTTAACAGTTCGAATAATTTATAAATCCTCCCCAATCGCAACACTTATTTGACGTGAAGTCACGGTTTGAGATTAATTTTATCCAAATAATGTCATAGATTCATAATAACAAGTCTTAACTTTAGAAATCTTGAAATTCCCAAACATAAATCCAGAAAGTTTGCACATAGAGAGAGGTAAAGGGAAATCATAACTGTAAAATCAATTATATGCAAATGCATTTATTGATTTGTTCTTAATGTCATTAGCGTCCTCTTCCTCTATATAAACGGCATTAATTTGGAAAACTGTCCTGGTAGAAAAAAAGAATGTTAATGCAATCAAGGTACCACAAGCACCTTTGTAACACCATGAAATAACCAGATACGTAACCATGGTGCTAAATTTAGTTTAAAGTTTTGCACGAGATAAACTAAATGTCTGGCGTGTAAACACAGCCAAGAACTTAAAACAGATGACCTGCTCAGAATTTTTAAATTGCCATTCGATAAGATTTTACCCAATAGTGAATAGTCGCCATTTTGAATTATCAGTTCAATTAGTTCGCCGTAAAGCTGCTTCCAAATCTTGCAAATTGTGTACAGCGTAGCCCATTGCTTAAATCCGACGACCGATGACATCCAGTTTATTTAAATCCGGACGCATATATAGTTGAGGCTATTTGCACGAACATTTTCTTTTTCACCCGAATTTTCAGAATGAATCAATCATTTACTAAAACGAGTTTTCCACAAAGCAATTATATTTCTGATATATGGCCTCATTCTTTGCCCCAAAACCGAAATATATTGCCCGAAAAATGGACGGTTCACGACCTCAGATTCCAGTCCCATCTTGCTAAAAAAAACACAAGCCAGACGTATTCGCTGGTGGTCATCTGTCAGTAATGAGAGATTTCGGGCGTTCAGACTGGCATATGGCGATCAGGTAAAAAAAGAAGGCTTGAGGCCGGAACTCATTGCAGAGGTGGAATTCATAATAGGCGAATCATAATCCTGTAATAACGACTAATCAGGCGCGAATCCAGGGGGGGGGGGCAGGGGGCCGTGCCCCCCCCCCCCTTCAGTCCCAGTGAGACTGGTCATCACTGTTCAGACCAGCACCTGCAGCCAGCAATGGGATTCCCGGATTTTAGTTTCTGTTTAATGAGGTCGCGACGAAGACTCTGGGGACTACACCAAACCACTAATGCATGCGGTACTCTGGTGATTACCCTTTGCTCCAATGTATGCCCCCCCCCTCGCCTCTCGACAAAATGCTGGATCCCGGCCTGCTAATAGCTTTGAAAGATATTTCTATCGACTGCATACTATATATGCCATCTTTGAGCTTCTAACAATAGATCTATGTCCTGAATGGCCGCCATATTGAATGTACTGATAAACTTTTCGGTTCTAATCCATTTCATATATTCAGAGACTAAATAAAAGAATTTCAATTTCCTTATACACGAAAATACTTCTCAAAATTTTCTAAAAGTATATGTAGTGTTTTAGGCGAAATGGAAATTAAAAAAGGGGGTTCAACTATCTTCGTGTCTATTCTCAAGCGTAGCTAATTTTATTGTAGACAGGGTAAGTTTCGTATGACAATGTCCTTCGCACCATATTCACCATGTTCCTGAAGCAACGACTGCGAGTTTTACAACATCTGGACGTTGCTATATATATATAGATTACTTTGCAATTCTCGTATTTAGAACTATGTTTTCTCCCTTTTCTGCAGACCAGAGTCGTATATATAGACACGTGAACAGTAGCGTTCAATCATAAGTTGTGACAAAGCAAACACATAAACTCGACAGAATTTTTTTGTTGTGACAAATATTTGTATTATTTGGAGATTACATTGAGTTTAATACTGTCTTAACTGTATAAGAGGAATTGTTTAAACTTTTGTACATTCCATCTTCGAGTTCACTATAATTCAGTTAAAATTTTTCTTAACTTATTAGAATTGCTTTATTGTAAATATTGTGTTTATTTTCAATTTCGGAGTTCGGAACTAAAAAATATTGCTTCTATTCAAGATTGAATAAAACGATACCACACAGTCAGTCACCCTAGCCTTTTTAGATTTATTGATATAATTTGATATATTGAGATGTGCCAATGATATAAATATGCTCAATTGAACTATTATATTTGGAATTCTAATGCTATGTTAATATTCTATCTGGATAACTACAATATATATGTAAATATTCTATTTGGATCATTAGTGCTAGAGCCTTGCAGTCTCCCTTGGATGGCCAATTATGTGTATGTAAGATCATTATTAGTAAAATCATCATAAGACAAGTTGGCTCAATTTGTCAGGAAGTGCTTCACTCTTTTGCCGTGTGTAGGCCTATATCACAAACAACCCATCCAGACCAAACATTTATAATTTCTTACATAAATATATTTAAAACAACTGGATAAATGGCCAATTCATTTGTATTTTATTATCAATTTTCTAGTTAAGTTCGTTGGCATCTCCTATAAATAGTGCAGAGTTTAGGAGTTCTGACATCAACTGACCTTAGAAGACAGACGATCATAACTCAAGCTCCATCATGAAGGCTGTCCTTGTTCTCTTGGTTATCACCATCGTCGCGGTTTATGCCGTTGGTAAGTTGCTTTATCTCTTTCCATCTTGTATAGTCTTCGCCTTCCAAAAATACATTTTGATAGTATTAAACTATGATAAAAAGATGCCACATTTGTTTAAAATTAGGAAAACCGTCGAAACGTTCATCGCTGGAACGACCGAGTATGTGCGATTGAATGAATTGTATTCTGTCCAGGCAATGTGATTGCCAGCCCAGATAATAAAAACACAACTTTTGTGCACATCATTAACTCACGACAGGGCTTGTTTTGTTACATAAGACGCCATATCATAGGTCATAGTCAGTTTTGTATAGAACAGACGATGGATAAGTACTAAGTTCGCCCATGTTATGTTAACAAAATTTTTAAATAAAAACAAAGATAACATTTTTAAAATTTGTCTAAATGGTTGACCGCTCTGTTTCCATTCTGATCGACTACGCCATGTTTTCAGTGTGAACCGCAGAGAGGCTACCTCATACGAGTGATAACCGATTTTTTTAAAATCCTGGATGTTGATCTCGGCTCACACCGAACCGGGTCCTTACTTTTAATTGATGTAAACCTTTCTATACACACAGCCGACTATTGGGTCCACACATTTAAGTTCAAATGTTTTCTTTACAGATGTAGATTTGGACTTTGTAAAATCTGCCATGGCCTTCAAAAACCACGTGATGAAGAGGGAAGCAGAGTAAGTAGACATAATATTTATCTTTTATAAGTTCTAAAATACAATAAGGCTGTCTGTTTAACATCCTCTCCTGCATCAGCACTTAAGACTTTATGGAAAATTAATTCAGCGTATACTACAGTATAACATGCAGAATCCTGTTGGGGAGAAAAGGTGTCAATTATCAAACCCTTCAGGTATGTTATAATATTAAGCAAGATTTCTGTGTTACTTACACCTTGACCTTCCACTCGGTAGCCCACACTAGAGTTATCTACTCTTGGTAATAGTCAAACTAATTGTCTCTCTCATTCAGACAACAGTTTCATAACAGTCTCCGATATTCTGAAATCGATCAAATATTGAGTTTGACCACGACCTAACAATATATAAATAGTATGCCGAATGTACCAAAGTAGTTGACTATGACTGGCCGAGGGGAAGGTTGAGATGATTATTTATCCACCTTTCCTACTTTGTTATGTTCCATTGCCACAAACGTTGGAATCTGGTCATTGTGAGGATTCCATGCACTGTAAACTTTATATTGCCAGGATTTCACTGTCCAATACACAAAACTGTAAACATTGTCTCGAGGAATTAATTTGTTTATAAATACCCCTTTAAACAGCCCGAAAAATGGTTTTACCACTGGCTGCTCAAGATAACCATATTGTTATTATGAATATCTCATTTCATTTCAGTGTTTATTAAAATGCATAATAATCCCCTTTATTTTATAAATCTTCTATCCATTAGATCATATTTTAAAATTGGTTAGATTATCCCCCGTGTCGATGTAAGCGGGTCTAATAAAAAAATATTTCAGATACAAGCCTCTCGCCTCAGTCGTACGTAACAATCTAGATCACCACCGTGAATGCCAAGTTATCATCGAGCGTTTTTAAACCACTACTGTTGGCTCTACTTCAGGTTTGCATTTTGGACAGATTAAAATTTTAATATATTGTCAACAGGGTGGATATTGTTTTCAAATAATACTTGTTGTCAATTATTTACACCAATAGTTAAAGGCTCGCAATATGTATTCTGAAAGGAATGTCTAAAGCTAAAGTAAGGGCTAGTCTTTTATATTTATTCAAAAAGTGATATTTCAACCACTCGGCAATTGGAATGGTTAATATAAAATGTTGAAGATGAGCATTTTCTGCTTTGATACTTTGGTTTCTAATTAAGTGAGCGTGATGAAACTTGGTGTGTAGTTTTATTATATCAATACCTTGACCAAGTTCGATGAAGAGAATTTTCTAATAGGCTAAGAAGTGATAATGAGCATTTTCGGCCCAGAGCAGGCAGAGCGATAAGAAATTTAATTGGTCGGGACTTTGGAGCTTGATAAATTTTATTCTAATTCAGTGAATGGCGAAACTTCGTGTATAGTTTCATTACATCACTACCTTGACTAACGTCGATGATGAACAATTGATCGAGACTTTGGAGCTTGATAAATTTTATTCTAATTGAGTGAATGGCGAAACTTCGTGTATACCTTGACTAACTTCGATGATGAGCATTTTCGGCTTAGGCTTAGTAGATACTTCAATCTGATTGGTTAAGTCTTTAGAACACCCCCCCCCCTCACTTAATCGAGATAGAATGTTAAAACTTGGCGTATGTGTTTATTAGGTGAAAGCCTTGACAATGTTCGATCATGCGCATTGTTCACTCAGGCTAAGCAGCGATAAACAATTTGATTGGTTGAGAATTTGGAACATAATAACTTTGGTTCTAATTGGCTGAGTGTGATGAAACACAGAGTATAGATTCGTTTTATCAATACCTTGACTAATGCAATAAAGATAATTTTCAGCTTAGGCTAAGGAGCGAAAAGCAATTTGATTGGTCAAGACTTTGTAACATTACAACTCTGCTTTTAATTGCGGTAGAATGTTAAAAGTTGATGTTCATTAGGTGAATGTCTTGACTAAGTTCAATGATTAACATTTTTCTGCTAAAGCTAAGCAGAGCTAATCAATTTCATTGGTTGATGCTTTGGGACAAGATAACTTTGATTCTAACTGATGGAGAGTCGCGAAACTTTTGTGTATGGTTTCATTACCGGGCACTTCAAAACCTTGACTGCGTTCAATCGTGAACATTTCCTGCTTAGACTGAGATTATATAATCAGATTGATTGCTCAATACTTTTCAAAAAGATACATGTGCAATTGATTAGTATGTCTCATCTTATTTATTTTGGGGTGTCGGCAGGTGAGATCAGCCTTACTGTTAGCTTGTTAAAATTCCATCGTTTCAGACAATCTCTTGAGAAGAGAAAAATGTTGGGATTTCACTGGCTGGACGAAAAAGCGGGAAAATGTTCCCAAGAAAACGAAAAATGTAACATGTTCCAGGATTGCTGCTATGAAGACGAAGAAGGAGAAGAAGTAAATCTGAGATGTAACCATTTCTTGAACGGTAGATGTGTTCAGAGAACCTAATTCTGAGAGTTAATTCTACTAACCCAACGTTGATGAATCGGCGAAGCTACTTATTTATTCTTTATTACACCGTTTTCATGTTGTAGAACGAATATCATTTATTTAATTATTACATAATAAACTAAATCAGTTTTGAAAAGTTTCTGTCATTATTTTTATAACTCACGATACAAGTTTTGAGGAAAAGTAAATTCCAATGGCAGACTTATCATTGAAATGAAATGAGATATCTCGTTATAGACGATTTTAAATAAGATTTGGAACTTTGATTTTTCCATCTTTAACATAAATGTTGTACCCATTGCTTCTATGCTATCAATCATCCTCCCTTCGGCTCACAATAGGTGACTATTATTCAGGCTGTTCTCCCTATACCCGTTCGTTAGCGAAACTCTGGAATAATAAGATGATCGCGTCCATGGGCGTGCAAGCCGGAGGAAGGGTGCCCCCCCCCCCCACACACACACCCTCCCTTAACTTTAAGGCAATCTGACTTTCTGGGGAAGACGGGTTAAGTGAAAACAAAAATTTATTTTTTCATCTAGTTGGCAAAATAAAGTTCCCGAAATCTAATAAAACACTTAATTTAATTGAATACCAAATTTGTACTGCATTGACTATGGATTAAAGAATTTTGTCTAGAGCCACTCTACCTTGTGCGACAGTTTTCGCGCAACGAAATTATATGTGAATGCAGCTCTAACAGTCAGATTTGGGTGATTTAAATTCAAATCGGATTAGAGTGGGATTTCGGTTGCAAAATGATTGGAAACTTTGAAGTTACCATATCCCAGTCCCCATACCATGCGACGATTGATTGATTGTTTGGAATTCAGATCAGCCACCTAAGGTAGGCTATATTGGACCACATTGATGTTTCTGTATTCAAGGGCTGGAATAGCAGGAAAACGCGGTTGCAGTAGTTAAATTTTCAAAAAATTCTCGATGGTCCCGTCTCCGTGGACTGTAAAAGATTGATTGGTTGATGGCAATTCGATTCACCCACCCATATTAAACCACTATGAATTTGATATTTTGAGTGCCTGGAATAGTGCGGTCGTCAAATTTTCCAAATGTTTTGGTTGGAGGCTGGGACGCCGTCGATTCTACCTTAGTAACATTCATCATGCCCGTACGTCCATGTTCGAGACTTAAGACCATATCAACAGTTACAACCCAATGTCCCGTAGCCAGGTTCATAATAGGATCATTATTTAGACTCATTATTAAATATTGACGGATTAATGGTAGTTTATCCAAAAGCATGACCACTGTGCGACAGACACACCAACCATTAGGCATATACATTTCATGTTAATCGTTTGCGATTCCCTCATTTCAGAAAATCGCTTGAAAAGAGAACAATGTTGGGCTTATACTGGATGGAATCAATGAATGGTAGATGTTCAGAATTGGGCGATAAATGCAACCTATTCCAAGACTGTTGCAATGAAGGACTAAAATGCAACAATTTTTTGAACGGTCGCTGTCTCGCAAGGGGTTTATAAGATGCGATAATACGATCAGCTTTATCAGAACTGTCAATAGCAAATTTATTTGGACTAACAGTAAAGTCTCTATATATTGTAAAATGACAATTATCTACTAGAGATGATTAAAAGTGAATCTTTATTAAATTTAATATAGTGTTTTTCTTCGTCTGGGAGTATTAACTACGAGTTTCGCATGACCAAAGTATTCCAGAATGTTATTTTCCTGACAATAGTGTGTAACAGGTGGCGTATATGCTGGCATTATTTGATCTTTATCATACGCTGTGCGATACATTATACTGAACTTTACAAAAAGAGAACTCAGATCCAATCCTAATACTAAGTTGGTCCAGAAAATTCTAGGCTCTTTGACGGTACTCGCCAAACTTGTGATATCATTCTATCAGAAGACCTGTATTTTATGTTTAAAAAATAACATTAAGCTATGACTAAGTATGTCTAAAGTCTGTTAGTCCTTGTTCCTTAGCGAGTTATCAAATAACTGGTCTGATTCCAAATTCTAACTCAGAGGCAAATATCTCGTCTGAAAACGATTCTCATTCAGTAGATATAATATTAACAAGGTGAGGAACGGGTGGAATTAAATAATTGGGATCAGTGTTCACTACTCTAGATTCCGTCAACCAGTGGCAATACTCACTAAATTTCGCTAGGTAGACAATCGAGTCTACGATGACTTTTCAAAATTATCCACGTGACCCTCTGAAGTCACGTGGACAATTTTTAAACGTCATCGTAGACTCGATTGTCCGGACAAGCTCAGGCAAAATAAGTTTAACATGGATGATTCAGGCACAATATCGTCTTGTGTGGCGTTGCCTATTCTTCGGGCCGTTTTCGAAAAGTCTGTCTAACGCAAAATAATGGGACCGCTTTCTCGATGAGCGACTTTTCCGCAGCGTTATTTCTCGCGCAAAGACATTGTGCACATGCCTGCCTTAGCGGATGTTTACTTTCTGTCGTACACACACGGGATCTCTTCCACAAAGTCAATCAACCGCTCTTGTTGCTGTTGCGACCGAACGTAAACAATGTCGGGCTTCATGATGTAAAGAGAAATCCTCACTTATGAACTTTTATTTTGTCTTTTGATAAAGCCATAAAAAGATATAAAATGACCAATTTTGTATTCCACTGTCGACACAATATTTTAAAAATAAATATTAGTAGAGACCCACACTTCCGGTGAAAGCAGAAATAAGTCTATGCAAACCAGAAAAAGAAAAGTTCTAAATTAGCTTTTATTATAGTATTGTTGAAAAGCATTTTAGTAGCCAACTATTTGATGAATTAAGTTTTCAAACGTTCTTTTCGCCGGGTTGGGGGCGGGGGGTGATCTGGAGGTTTGAAAATTCAATATCCGTAGATGGCCAAAATGTAGTATGTTTTAACTCCATGCATTATTGGGCGTGTATTGGCTTATATATAATATATTAATACTATTGTTGATGAATACAATGCAATACTAAATGACAGGGAGTTAGTTCCTTTAAAGTATACCTAATACAACTTCTCGGTCCGGGGGTTGAAGTTGCAGGAACTAAATATAAGTGATTACCCGGGTTAGTGGGATATAACGTTAACCTTTGACTCGAGATGATGGTTAATTATATGATTCATTTTAGTCCCAAATACAAAACTTTCAATGGATTTGTGGCGCCATATTCTACTTTTAAATATTCCCTTTCGTTTTTTTAGGGTTGGTATTACTAAAAGAAAGATGCTTGGTGTGAATTGGTCGGCCAGCTCTGGTGGGAAGTGTTCTCCGTTAGGAGCTAAATGTTACATGCTTCAGTCTTGTTGTGACGAGAAGAAGAACCGATGTTCCAGTTTCCTTGGAGGCAAATGTATAAAGCGATCAGGCCAACGACGCACAGTTTTTAGATTTTAACTTTGTATAACTTGTATACTTTGTAGTCATATGAATTATGTCGTCTCTTCGGTCCGGACGTCCGTTCACATTTGTTGTCCAAAGATGGGTTCCTCCATTATTTTTCATGATTGTCCAAAACTCGTCTCATAATTAGCGGGGCCACTGGAAGTCATATTTTTTATTTGATTTTGATTAAACTTTGAATAGATGTTTAATGAACAACAATCGCGACTCAGGTCAATTTAGGTAGAAATCGGAGAGTAAATTTTGGTTACATCTACATCTCCCAAGTGCGCAAAATTTGTGACAAAGTCTGTAATATGTATACCAAAGATGAGGAACTTCTAGAGGCCAATAAATTTACATGCAACTTGAACTAAATGTTAAAGATCCAAAGATCTCAGATGAAGGAAAGCATCGGACAGTAACTTCCTGACACCTTACTTTTACCCAAACTGTGTAATGTGTACTGTTATGGACCCTCTACAGGCTACAATTATTATCCGATTTTGATGAAAATTTAAGACCTCATAATGAGTTTGACGTTGATGGACAACTGATTGTAACTTCCTTAGCTACACCTCTGCTTTTTCGCAAAATGTCCATCTGACAGCATTGTCACTATGGAAAGATAAATACTGTCGATTTTCATAACTATCCATCGTTCTGTGTGCCTGCTTGTCCGTCACCATTTTATCATATTACTGCTATAGATGCAGGAGTTTTTGAGTGAAGCAATTGAAATTTGGTCTGAACCATAGAGTACTTATGAGGTTGCACCCTATCAATTTCCAATATTGTCAACAATTTCTTGTTGAGTGGTGATTTTTATTTTGAATGCCAACCAAAATTTTGTGTGATGAATTGGGAACATGAAACATGTCGATTCCCGTCGTTCTCTGTTGTCCCCGTTCGTCCTCCAGTCATCGACTCATGTGAATGTGCTAGAGGCAAGAGTTTGTTTAATGCTTTTTTTTAAAATTTGATATGAAGCATTGCGACGATGAAGTCTAACGATTTTCCCAATTCTCCGTCTATCTCTTGAAAAATGTGGGTATCTTTCATTATTTATCACATGGCTTTTTAGTCTCTGATACTTAAGTGACATACATTACACTGTCAAATGTCAAGTGGTCTAAACCAAATCCAGCTAGAATCCATTTTGCTGCTGACATACTGATAGGTATATAAACAGCCAAGTGACTTGGCTGGTGGTTGGCGCATGCTCTGTTGCCTGTTATTTTTGTTTGCTTTATCGTTGTAATTATTTGTTATTTGTCATTAAAGATACAACAGACTCCGGATAATTTCTTCTATCATAATGACATTCGAGCCTATATGTCGTGTCTAAGGTCTTAGTCGGGTTTCGGTGGTGCCACACTTTTGACGTCATTAAAATGACATTATAAATTGTGTCAGGGCCGTCAGAACGGGAAAGTGGGGGTTGGGGGGGGGGGGGGTGTCGGTGCTTTCAAATAAACGCATTTGCGAAACATCCATGGAGTAAAAGTAGTATCATAGTCCATAAAACGAGGTCATCCACTTCGGGGCTGGTGTGAGACGGCTTTGTTCTGCATAGCACTCTGATGAACGTTCATGTAACGTGTGACTGCTTACTGCGATTCATCTTTTGCTGTTTCTATTCGGCGGGATTAGCCTTGGTATAATTATAACTCATCTACGTCGAAATGTAAATGCGACAACACCGTGATCATCGCAGATTTAAATTCCCACGCGTTTGCGGCCGTCAAA